GGCAGTTTTTGCGGCTATACTTGAGTCAGGTAACTCTGACCGATGAAGGGTAGTGCCCCAGAAATACGCGTATCTCAGAGTCCTAACGTTTGCCAGTAATAAAAATAGGGTTAACTGTGTTCGTCACATACCGCCTTTAATCAGAAACCTTCGATTGCTTGTCTTCGACCCGTTTAAACCCTCTTATTTCAAATTTCGCGGTCTCTTCCGACCCCCTTTGGAGTAATAAAACAACACTGACAGAAATTCGCGTTTTCTCGATGACCTCAGCAGATTCTGTTACTTGTCGCATCCGTCTGCTCTACTGATAGGAATAATATCAACATCCGCTCCTTATTACACGAGTCCCTGTACGACAGTTTATCAGTAGGCTTATATACTCAATCCCGCGTTATTATGCATTTTAAAGTAAAAGCACCGTCATTTCTCAGGTTTTAAGCTTCAAATGAAAATTATTTTCCCTACATGATACACCATACTGACAGTATAGCTATTAACTAGAAGTCCAGACATACGTTTCGCCCATACCCTACTGCTGTATGTCATAGCTGCGGGAGGTTCAGCTCATGAGCTAATAAAATATTAAGTGAACTAATGTACTCAAAGTTGGCGATTAACTTCTGAAGAGGTGAAAACTCAACAATGATTATCCGTACCAAGTCCTTCCCTGAAACTTAAACTGATCTGAGAAAATGGGTCACAGTGCGCATAATTGAGCTAATACTCTTGTATTTAATATGGAAATCGGTTATTGGAGCGATTCTCAAGCGAAAACAGCAATGCCACGATGCAGAAAGTTGAATGCTTGTCATCTTCATGCTGATCGGTATTGTGGCCTCACCTACTGATTTCTTTTTTGGATAACAAAAACATAAAATAATTTCCATTCGTTTCCATATCACGCGTAACTGCATTTTTCGCAGTTTTTAGCGTCACTTTCTGACTTTGCGTTCTTTGCATAACTAGATGAGAAAGCAAGCGAACATGTAACTTATAGTATACTTTACAGGTGATATGACCTTGACAGGGCCAATAAGGGGCCAGTTGGCAGCAAAATCCTCTCTCAAGGTCACTCTGAGATGGCAGCCTGGCAGTGCCAGGGATGTCGGTTACGATGAGGCTAGATTTCAAATAATATTTGCTGACTCGGAAACTGAGCCTCTGACGCTGGTCGTTAGGGGTCGCGCCAGGGATGTGGCCATATGGTTGGAGGAGACGAGTGTTGACTTTGGCCTGTGTTGGTTCGATCGCCTATACCAAAAG